ATGTTACAAGAAGAGCATATTTAGCACGGCAGAAGACTTTGTCTAGCCACGCGTGCGTACTGTCATTAATTACCATCTTCCTCTGTTCTCAGGCAGGCTTGCCACTGCTCGCAGGCAGAGGGGCCGGCGGCCTCTGAGCTGGCTGTAACAGATCTCTCAGACAGGTAAAACATCTGAAGAAACAGTAAGAAGCAGCACAGCCCTTCAGGGGGGCGGGGGCTCTAAGATTTAGCAAGTGTGGGTGGGCAGGTGTGGCAGGGGGGATGTTGTGACTTCATTTTTATTAATTCTGGGCCCTCCCCCCCCAGTTCATACCTTTCACTTAGTTGAAAGTGTTTCCTCTAGCATATGCCTGCAATGCTCATCATCAGGTAACCGTCACGTTTTAATGAAGTAAATAGTTTTTAATTAAAAATCTGCTTTTACTGTTCAGGGCAGGTGTTAGGTCCCAGACTTGCAGTCACCTTGGGATAACAGAAAGGCATCAGTTTTCAGCTGCACACCTCAAGCTTAAGGTGAATAAAATATTGATGAAGATACTCAGAGAGAGAAAAAAGACACTTTTTTGTTTTGTTTTTTTTTGCCCAGAGGTTCCAAGCGGTGGAATAACATCTTCAGATCCGGTTTGCTACTGCTTTATCTTCCTAGCCCTTCCACCCACCTGGTAGCAATGCACCTCAGGTGCTTTCAGCTTCTCAGCAGTTCCCTCCTGCCTTTGGAATTGAAATAAAAGGCCTTTTTCTCTTTTGCAGTGGCATTTTTTTAGTCCCTGCCAGGAAAGCATGCCTATGAATGATCTTCTACAGTTAAAAAGGATTCTGGAAGAAGTTCTAGGAGTGCTAACTGACAAATGCTTACGAGAATTAAGTTCGCTTTCCAGAAAAATCTTGGCCTTCCTTTTTAAGCTGTATTGCTCTCCTGCACACTGTGCGACCTTCTGACTTGTGCTGAGGTAAGAGACCGAGCTGTAGCTGCAACGCTTTGTTTCCGAACCCGCAGGTGGTGCCTGCTGCACTGAGCTGACTGCCCCGCTTCCCCGGCGGAAGCTTGCACCTGCCAGGTGAGCAAAACTGGACTGAAAAGTGTTTGCTGCCCGTCCAGTGCGGAACAGCAGCCGCCACTGGCAGGAAAAGGATTTTGGTGCTTTGCAAAGGTTAACTGAAGCATAACCGTCCTAAATACAAAGCTATTACGCTTGCAGAGGGAAAAGCATTCTCCTAGGTTTTTTTGAGTAAGTTAAAGCTGTAAAGCTTTGTCCCACAGCTCCCCTGTCTAGAACAACCTCAGCATTTGGGGGAATTAGAAACAGATTCCTACCTCGCTACTCAGCTGCTGGGCCCTCTCTGCGCAGACGCACCTTTTGTCCTTGTTTCTTCAGTCTGGCTGACCGCGCACCTTCTCAGCTTGAGGATGAAACTGTACAAGCTGCTTTGGGTCCTTTGGATTTCCAGAGGCCATCGAGGGCCTAGGGTTCCCTGTCCCTGTGGGGTCTGGCACGGTTGTTCACGCCTTCTTGGTTTAACATTTTGTTGAACTCCTTAATAAACTACTTGACACAAAGTCCTGTGGCGAGATCGCCAAACCACCTGCCCTTTCTTCTGAAAAGTTGTCAGAAAAAAATATTTTAATAATGGTTTGACTAACATAAGCCTTTCTGTAGGAAGGTAAAAGGACATTGGCAAAAAAGTGATAGACTAGAGTGTGTTTATAGTGAAGTTGTCAGGACACGGACCAGAGTTGTACTGTACAAACCTGCTGACAGTTCTGGAGTCAGTTCTCTGCTGTGTCTTTGGGAATAGTCAGCTTAGAAATTTTACCATTTTGTATTTTGAAATTTCCCTAAGGTCACACTTAATCTTGCAGATATTATGAGTTCAGAAATGTCCAGGCAGTGTGGGTAAAGTGTATTAGAAATGCAAGCTGGTCGTTCTGTGCCTGCATCGGCCTGTTGGGAGCAACCTGGGAAGTTGTCACATCCGTGCCCAGCCCGGCTGCGAGGCCGTACTGCGCTGCCTGCAGGGGCTCGGCAGCACACCAGGGTGGCCAGCGCTGCAGTTTCAATCGTGTGACATTCTCGGCCTTTTGCCGAGATGAATGTTTCCCGTCTTGAGCGTGGAAGTACGGTACGTTCTGTGAGAGAAGGGGAAGGAGTCACTGAGATAATTAGGAAATACATACTGACGGTTGGGTGGCTTCCCCAGCTCAGTGCTGACCTCCTTGGAGGGGGAAGTGGAGGGAAGGCTCCCAAGTATTTTTCTTTTTATACAAGTAGTGAGTGAGTGGAATTTGAAATTAATTTTTAGCTAAACAGTAGTAAACTGCATTTTTCATTCAAGGTACAACACTGTCACTTTTTTTTATATCTATTCCGTTTCTTCTTCCTGTTATACATACTTTTGCTTTTTTACTTCAGGATGTCTTTCAAATTTGGTATTTTTCATGCTTTCCAAGATCCCCAACGTAACCTGCATGTGTGGCTGTTTCCAGGTCTGCGTGTATAATGAGGACTCTCAACTTGGGCAAAACACTATCTTAATTTAAAATCAAAATAATTTGTCCTATTTTTCTTGTAGACAACACTGTCAGAAAAGACTAGTAGAGGAGAATATTCTGATGTGAAAGCAATACTACAGCAATTTCAGCTGAGCCCTGTAAAACACTTTATATGCTGCTTAAACTTGGAAGGCTGAGATGGTGCTTCGGTTCTTTTTTTTCAAATTGTGTGAAATTGAGAGGTGAGCCCTGTCCATCTGTGCTCCGAGGAAGGTAGATGCTTCAGAAGGGGGATCCAGAGTCCAGGCAGCTCCTCGTTCTTGGTGGGCAATGGGCCAAGAAGGATGTGGCTTCCTGTGTGGGCTCCGTAGGAAGCGTTAAGTATTTCTCACCTGTGTGTATTTGTGACAGCCCAGAACAGCTTGTCTCTTCCTTTAGTCTGTTGAGAACTCACATGAAGAGACTATGAGCTTTATATATGATATAAAATATATCAAATCTAAGGGGGGGGTAACTCCTCATTACTGTAACTGTGTTTCCTAAGAAGGGCTCCCCTTGCTTCATTCCCAGTAGTCTGCCTCTTAACCAGTTTCATGTACACTTACAAGCATTGTGGGGTGAAAAACACAATGTCCTTGAAAAGTGCAGCTGTGGCTTATCTCCTTCCCCACCTCTTTCTAATTTACGTAGGACCTGATTTTCCCATCTCAGTGCCCCAACCTGGCAATGTTGGCTGAGTTTGTAAACTGTAAAAACTTTTGGCTTCTCCTGTAAATAGACCCTTTTCTCAAAGGAAGGCCTGGCCCTACCCACCCCTAGCCAGGTTAGTGCTGTCTGGGGGTGGCGCTCAGTAAGAGCTCCCTATTTAATGCTGCAAAACTTGTTTGTGTTCTGCGCTTTCAGCAGTTCTCTTCTGTAACAGCCCTGAGGAGCAGATGCACATTTGTTACAGCCAAAAGTCTCTCAGCCAGCAGCAGCGAGGAGTAAGCTCCTAGTATCTTGCTCTGAGAAAAGCCAGCTCGTTGCTCTTGGAGCTCTGGGGCAGGCTTTGTGCGTAACCGTGCTGTGTACCCCAAAGCACTGCTCACAGCAGTGCTGTGTGACCCATCCCTCTCTGGTCCTCACTGCTCACAGCAGTGCTGTGTGACACATCCCTCTCTGGACCTGTGGCAGCAAGGAAGGTATTGGAAAGCCTTTGTTTGAGAGACTTGGCACCCTTAAAGCATGTTTTTAGGTAATAGCAAAAGGAAACTCCTAACAGAGTATCTTAAGCTGTTCCTAGGCTCAGGAACCTGACTGGTATGCTGTATGTAGACCGGTGATCTCTGGCCAGCTCCACCCTTTCTGCAATTTGATGATGTGCGGTGTAATTTGATACAGGCTATGGCAGAGGGGCAGCGCTCAGCAGTTAGCATCAAGTACGCAGTTGTGAGCCAGGTCAGCTGTTGTACTGATGTCAGAGCTAGCAAGAAGCTTGTTAATGAGGCACACAGTGCACGATCCAGGCGTTCCCAAAAGTGGGCTCTGGTCACAGGCGCAGCAGCAGGGCTCCCCCAGGAACAGTCAATTACTTGATGCTGCCCCTCCGTATTCTCTGCAGAAGGTCCACATGGGATTTGGTACATCTAGTTTGTAGGTTCTTCAGGTGTGTGCTCTGTCAGCTGAGGTGTTCATCGCTATTCTCCCCCTTAGGTCAGCCATGGTGCCTGTACAGGGGCAATTTCACTCTGCTCTGGAGACGAGAAGCTGCAGTCATTTAGAGTTGGTAAATGAAGGAGGCGTGATGTTGAAGAGGAGCAGTCTGAAAGCGCTGACGGTATGGTAAAGCCTATCTAAGAGAAGCAGCTGGGTGAAGAGAGGGGAAACAGTGCAGCAAGCATGGCCTAAGCGTGACTGACTGCGCTGGGTCACTGGGGATTCAGCTGGACTTCAGCACACGAGGTCAGTGAAGACGAGCACCGAACAGTAATTGCATTCCCAAAGTCCTCAGTTTCTTGCAGGGAGCAGCCCTACAGCTCCTGTTCTAGCCGAGTGGCTGCAAGAAGTAAGTGTAAAATAGTACCACTTTCTCCTACACAATCATAGATAGGAGCCTTCAGCAATCATCAAAGTGGTGATATGGGCTGAAATCAAGCTAGAAAAGCGTCTCTCACTCCTAGAAGCCCTCCATAATTTACAGCCCATTCACAGTCATTAGAATGGTTTTCCAGTAGAAGCACTCCTGTTGAATTCACTGCCTGGCTCCATTTCTGTTAATCCTTAAGTTTGTGAGAGCAGCAAGGAGAAATTCAAGACTTTGTCCCAACATGGCGTTGCCCTCTAGCGACCTGCAAAGGCATTATTTATATTGCTGGGACCTCTGCACTAGCGAACACTCGCTGCACCGCAAAGCGGTGTCTAACTCGTGCATGCAGTGGGCATAAACCTATGCTCCTCTCTCTTGTGACTGGAAGAAAATATTCTAAATAAATTCACAGTTGCATTAAAAAAGAAAGTGGGGACTGGTGGTCCTTTAAAATCAGGTTTTATTTGTCTTCTCTGCTCTCTTATGTGTAATAGAATCCCCGTTTTTCTCTCCACACAAATCTAAATAAATGGCACCACAGGAAAATAACCATCTCCCTCTAGTGTACTCGTCGTTTGGACAAGGGATCAGCCCATGCCAGCTGTAGTCTTAATCCTCTCCATCTTTTCCTGAGTTTAGTGCTTTTCTTTTGGCTGTTGAATCTTCTGAAAGTTAATTTCTTGCCAAAGATAACTGATTGAGGATATGTGCTATGGCTAAAGCTTCCTGGTAAGATTTTCTGTGTCATCTGTTCACTTCCTTGTTGTTGCTCAAAAAAAAGTAGAGATTAAAAGCTGTTACTGTCACTTCGTGCACTTTCTTTCCTGTTGGGTAGTTGTTGGTACAGTAAAAGCAGCTTTGGGAGCAGAGTTTTTTTTGGTGTTGGGTTTTTGTTTTTTTTTTAAATCAGTCTCAGGCATTGCAGCTTTTCTGTCCTTTGCTTTTACACCTGCACCTGTAAGTGGCTGAGTGAGCAGGCTGAGTGAGCAGGCTGCTGGGCGAGATCGAGGTGTGTTTTTTTTTTCTGACCTTTGTTTTTACATCTACATAGACAGCAACCACAGGCTGTCCGAAGAGCCCTTTGTGCGTAGGTAGTACCTGTGTGCTCCCGTATGGCTCCTTTCCGGGAACAGTGTACTGCTGCAAGGATTACCTCAGCACAGCCAGTATTCCATTAGGAGCTCACACATAGCTGCATCCCACACCTAAAATTCATCAAACCCTGATCAGAAGAGGCAATGTAACCTGCAGCCTGGAACAGGGCCCAGGGGTCACGTCTCTCAGTGCCTCTAACTTTGGCACTGGTCATCAAGTACCACGTAGTGACAAATCCTTGCAAAACAGGCAGTGGCTAGGAAGCACGCAGGGAGAGCTGCTGACTTTGCTGAACAGCAAAGTCATTTCGCCACTACCAAACCAAACCAACACTCTGGTTCAGGAAAAGCCCTACACTCCCCTACAAGGACAGGTTGCCTCCTCCCTCCTGCACTCACAGCCATCACTTACAAACCTAGATATGGCCTTCCGTGCGCCATACTTTGTCCAAAGAAGAAGCAGCACATTTTAACAAGAGGGTCAGTTACTCATTGGTGAGGAAAACGTCCATCGTTAGCCTTGTTCAAGAGGGCCAAGACTTGATCACTGTTATGCACCGTTACAAGGCACTTTGGGGAAGTGTCTCGCTCTAGTCAGCTTCTTCAGCTACGGTAGGCCTTCAGCAGTTGCCCTGCTATCACCAGTCTTTGGATCTCACTGGTCCCCTCATAGATCTCGGTGATACGAGCGTCACGGTAATGGCGTTCTGCTGGCATCTCTGTCACGTAGCCCATCCCACCTAAGATCTGGATGGCCTGAAACAAAGGTAGCAGGTTAGAAAGGAAGCAGGGTCAAGGAATTCATTTTCTACAGAACACAGCCACCTTAAAAGAAGCTAGGCCCACTGCAAGCATAACTGGGGGGGGAAGACAGACAGACACATGGGGATGACTGACTGCAGCCTATTTCCAATCAGAGGAATAAACAGGATTTGAGCCGGGTAAGAGCAATACCGATGTCCCAGACAGAGAATGAACAGCTTCAGAGGTAGTTGTTAGTGATCCATGTTCAGCTAAGACACGTTTATTAAGGACAAGGGAAAATAAATGCAGACACTAGAGGTCCTGCTCCATTTGCTCACCATGTTGCAAGCTTACTACTAGTCCTGACTGGTGCACCCACATCACTGATCCTGCTCAGAACTTTGATGCTGCCCAGGACAGCAGCAGGCAGAAGAACACTGTAATAATACAGCTGCCACAGGCCAGCATAAATCCCTGCACACACACCCCCCCGCCCCAAAATCCAGGAAGGTGGCTGTGCTAACCAGCTTCAGCCATATGGGTTTGTTTAAAAAAATAAATTAATAAATTCCATCCCACCTTCCCCACGCATTTGTTGTGCGACAACACAATCTCCCTTTCAGCATGCTGTATATCAGAGGTGTCAATTGAAGTAATTACCTGATGAGCGATGGCTGTTGCAGCTTCTGATGCAGCCAACTTGGCCATCGCTGCTTCCTTTGGGGAAGGAAAACATCACTGAGGGTGCCGCTATCACAAAAAGGAACACCTCACTTGCACGAGGAGCCTGAATGCTCACAGACCAGCTGTGCAGAGAGACAGGACTGATCATTGGTGCCAGCTATCAGCGGCCACCCCCGCTCCCCTCGGCTAAAACCAGGACTCGGCTCAGCAGGCTGTCTGAGGTTAGACAGCAGAGTCCAATATCTGCCGGTGGGGTCAACACTGACAGTGCTGGCTGGGCAAGAGCTGAACACAGCGACGCTGTACACAGCATGGTTTTCTCGCCTTGAGCCTGTGCCCAGCGCTGTCACTGCTAGACAAATGCAAGGTTGGAAATACCTTTGTGAAGGGCTTCCCATTGTCTTTCAGCATAGCGGCTCTCCAGGTCAGCAAGCGCGCGCCCTCCAAGGCCACAGCCATATCTGCTAGCTTAAACTGCAATGACAAACACTGCCTTTGTTCCAGGTGGCAGCCTCTGCTCGCACAAGAACATACAGCAGAAGTCTCCCACCTCTAAGGCCAGTATTGCTAGAAAAGGATCGCCTCCGTCTCAACAATCAGTTTTAATGGTGTTTGAAAACAGAAATTATTACCTTGTTTACCCCAGACAGTGCAAAGTGTGCCTGAAGCCACGCCCGAGAGCCCACATGAACCTTCCACCAGCACCAGCAATGTCTGGAACTGCCCCGTCCGCGTAGCTCGTACCTGCACTGCCTGTAGCTTTGTGATGGGCGCCCCAAAGGCCATTCTCTTTTCAGCATAATCCACAGCACAGTCCAGAGCTGCCTGTGCTATTCCAAGAGCCTGTGAGGCGATACCAATCCTTCCTGCATCCAGAGTTTGCTGTGAAAGACACAAAATATGTGTGTTGAGTCAAGCCATGCTTGATCAAAAAATAGTACACTTGCATTTCTGCTCTTGCTGGGAAGCTGCTGTAGCCTTAGTATCCTCTGGTCAGACCTCTTTGATTCAGAATATTCCCAGTTATGCAGGAAGAGAGCGCTGTAAAACGTACTCGGCACTGCAGAGAGAAGCCAGGGGTACAAGAAGGAAAGCAGAAAGGAGAGGTATTGCTTCTTATTAGCTGGGGAAAAAAAAGAGGGGGGTGCAAAATAAGGGAAACAGCACAACGAGGAGCATCTGCTCTGGAAGGGGCTGAAAAGCACCCTTCAGCTAGACCTCTGGCTCACTGTGCAGCTGATTTTACCTTAACTGAAAAAAAAAAGGAAATCTGGACAGTTTTCCTCTTTGCCCTCATCATTTGCCACACTGAAGCAAGCATTTTTCAAAATGACTCGTGAATTGAGTCAATAACCTGACTTACCTCAAACACCTGCCCATTAGGCTTTTAACTGCTTCCCTGCCTCACTATGCACAGGAAGCATTTACAGCAGTGAGAAAAGGCTTCATCTTCTCAGTCCTGGGCTGAGTGTCTTAAAGAAGTGGCTGGTGACCGATGCGTTCTTTTAGTTGTGGACATAATGGAAGGGGCTGGTCTCCAGGGAGCTCAGCCTTTTTCAAAAAATCAGGCCAACAAATGGTGTTTTGCCCCTACAGAGCGAGCAATGAACACTTCCAAGGGGAGTGCCCTCACTGCAGGGAACGCACTGTTCCGCAGCTGCCTGGCTCCTCCTCAGAAGTCACACACGTGCCGTAACTCAGGTATCATCCACCTTTAGACACTATCCAGAGGTTGTCCTGTGCCTCCAGGACAGCTTTCCTCTGCCAAAGTATTTAGGGAAAATGCTGTGTTTTCCCTTTATCTACGGGTACAAACTGGAGGAATAGAGGGTTGGGAGAGGAGAAAAATTAAAATACACCAACCCTGCTCACACAGTGCCTCAGCAGCACTGGCATTCCTTCATCTGATAACCGCCATGTTGAGTCTATAATAAAAGTGCTCTCAAGGACCTATGGTAAATTAATGATTCATCAAGCTCTATGAATGATTTCTCCCACGTTGGCAAGAGGGGTCAACTGCTTAATGTTACACAGAACAGCTTATGCTAGCGGTTCTCACCAAAGTGATCCTAAGTCTGAAAATGGTTTTGAAAATGGTAAGCTTGGGAACTATGGCTCAACACAACCACAGCTGCACTCCGATCCATCTCTTACCATGGCGATTTTGAAGCCCATTCCCAGCTGCCCCAGTAGGTTGGCCTTGGGTATCCGACAGTCCTCAAATATCAGGTTGGCAGTGGAAGAGGCCCGGATTCCCAGCTTGTCTTCTTTCTTCCCCAGTGACAGCCCAGCAGTTGGCATGGGAACCAGGAATGCGCTAATGCCCTGCAACAAGACCCAAACTCTTAGGAATGGTGCCAACTTCCCACTTACCTGGGTGTCAACAGGCTTCCTCCAAACATTTTTCACAGGAGCCGCATGTCTGGATAACTGGGAGAAGGGAGGGGAGAGCTGAGACAGAAAAAAGCCAGCGCACATCAGCCACTCCTCTGCTCGATGCCTGCATGGCTCTAAATACAGAGTCCCCAGAGCCTTTTCAAAGCACTTCTCCTGCACAACTCCTTTGCTCCCAGCCCTTTTTCCTGACTGACACACTGAACACACCTTGTGCTTCAGGGATTTATCCGTAGTAGCAAACACCACGGTGGCCGAGGCGTCCCAGGCGTTGGTGATCCAGGCCTTGGTGCCATTCAGAACCCACTCGTCACCATCCAGGCGTGCCACTGTGGATGCCGCACCTGCGTCACTGCCGTTTCCTGAGCAAGGCACCAGCAAACAAAACTCAGGCAATCAGTGGCAGCGAGGGGCACAAACCCACCCCCTGCCCGCACCCCCACTGTCAGCTCATGGCACCTCTTGTAACTGCTGCAGTGTCAGCACTGTCCCTCCCAGAGGACCCAAACAAGAAGGGGAAAGGCCCACGTGTCTAAGATGCGTCCATCTCCAGAGCTCTGCTCACATACAGGGGATGAAAATTTTCAGAGTGGGCCACGGGGCTGGCAGTTAGTATCTTGAGCACTGAGACTTCATTTACGCAGAATTGCTATAAACCACCTTTCTACAAACTGTTAGAATTTCACAGACCTAAAGTCCAACCTAAAGTCCATCCTGAACCTGACTAAGGAAAGAAGCTACCCTACGTTCTTTGCAGCAGGAACGGTAACAGTCACATCACCTGGTTCACTAAGGGCAAAACAGCCGATTTTCTCTCCGCCAGTGAAGGGAGCAATCCACTTGTGCTTCTGTTCTTCGGAGCCAAACTTGAGTATTGGCCCTAAATACAGAGACTTTAAGAATTGAGAGTTGAGTTAGTGCCTCTTGAAGGTACAAGCCATCCAGTAACTCCCTAATGTCCCTAACGCTCTCCAACACACCAGAACCCACCACAGGAACAGATCCCATTTCTCCCATACGCTCCTCTCCAATAACCCCGATGCCAGACTCGGTTCCACGCCTGTCCCTCACACACAACCTGAGACACTTACATTATTGACGCTGACAATGACGCCCGTGGATGCACAGCCCCTGCTGATCTCCTCCACAGCAATGGAATAGGCCAGGTAGTCGAGGCCTGCTCCTTTGTACTCCTCCGGCACATCCATAGCCAGCAGCCCTAAGCCACCCATCTTCTTCACCTGCACGTAGGGAACGCAGAAGTAAGATCCTCTGCACCACCAGTGTCCCAGCAAACACACACAGACACATGGAGATAAAGACAGGTCACAGCAGGGCTACACACAGAGGAAAAGATGCGCACAACTCCTGGTGAAATGGGAATCTGACTGTACTAACATCGTAAGTGTCCCAGGTCCCAATGACTGCAACAAGAGCTGTACGCAGTCACTGCTGCCTAAGATGAGCCTCTTAATTATTTAAAGAGTTCTCTTCAGTACCGGGAAGGAGGGAGCCTTTTGAAGGTGAAATAGGGAGATACAACCCCACCAGCATTTCCTTAGCCTCCCACCAAAGCTTTTCCCCTTCCACGTCTGCTGTCAGTAGGAAGCTCTCAATGGGAAATCTAGCTGATAAAAATCATTAGAACTTTACCTTTGAGTCTGCTGAGCTTCAGCCTAGGACCGCACAAGGAAAGAATTTTACAGAATGAATGACCCACAGAACAGTTTGCAATAAGGTGATTTTTTCATTCCCATTAAAGCCAGGTCTCGCTTCCCAGAGAATTTAGTTGTTGGTTACATTCCAAATTATTCCACCCCAAGTTCCTCAGCTAGACCCCTGGCTTCTTAACTGTAAGTTCTTCAGAGCACCGACTGTCTCACTCTAGGTTCTCTTGTTACTGTTTGGCAACATACAAGAGAAAAAACAAGCTTTCCTCTGTTTTTATATTTAAGATGTCAAGCTTTTGGTGTTGCAGAAATAAGCGTATTACCAGCCTCTGCTTGCTTTAATAGGACCCAGGCAAAATTTTTAAGCAAATACTTTCCTTCCTGTATGGGCACCCAAACACTAGTCCTTCATATGAAATCCAGAGGATGAACAAAAGACAGCAACTAGTTCTATGTATGTTGCTTTATCTTAATAAACACTGTTTGCATTTTGAATTTTCCCCTACACATTCAAGTGAAAGGACTCAAAACCTCAGGTAAGAACAGTGAAGTAAAGAGGAAAGTATCTTCTTCCTTAGAGTGAGTGTGACTTTCCTGGCTATCTTCCTTACTCCTTCTTCCCTACTCCTTAGTAGAAAGAGGGGTGTATGACAAAACTCGCATGCCTCTGACTGTGCTTGCTTGGAGCCTTCTGGCTAACATAACAGTACATATTTTTCTGGAGCTTAGTATTTCATTGCAACGAAACAGGTGAGTTAGTCTGCTCGACACAGCACAGAATGTACTGCTGTGTCTGTACTGCTTTCCACAAGAGAAGTCACAGGTTTGACTGGAATCTCAATTTCTTCACAGCCCTAGAGGATGACCAACGTGCATCTCCTATCTCCTGATGACTTCTTTTCACCATCTGAAATGCACTCAGGTCATCTATGCTTCCTCACTATAAACCATTTTTATGGTTATGTGCAGTCTATAAAAACACTGCATTGATTTTATAAGTCAGTTGTGTTACAGCCCACAGGAAAGTCAGTAAGAGAACCGAAAATTCAATGGTACTAAAGCCAAATACAGAGAAACACAAGTAAAGAGCTCCAAATGTCCCGTGGGCATTACAACCTCCACACTCGAAGAACTCGTCCACAAGTTGGTCTAAACTTCAATTTTCTGCTAAGCCAGAGCTTAATGTACATTTTGCTTCAGGCCCAGGTGGTCCTGCCGCAGCAGCAGAGGAAAGTCAGGAGATCAGGGCACCTAGATTTCCTTGTTTTGCTGTCAGGATATCATGCGTTGCGTAAGCATTTGTCCTGTACCTTTGAAAGCAATGCATTTTCCCTCCCTGGCAGAAACTGTGAGGTTTAAATAATTGGGCTGGCACTTAAAGCAAGGATTCTGGTTTACCGTTGGACTTGATGATCTTAAGAGTCTTTTCCAACCTAAGTGATTCTATGGTTCTAAGTCAGGCTCTGAACGAGCCAGGCTGCCTCTCTCGTGCCCACCTCCCGGCGGGAGCAGCACACACCTGCTCGGCCGGGAAGCGGTGCTCCTTATCCAGCCGAGCTGCGAGAGGCATCAGCTCCTTTTCTGCGAAGTCCCGGCACGTCTGACGCAGCATCTGGTGGGTTTCTGGCAGCTCCGCTGTCTGGTACACCGTGTGCAGCCGGCGGAGGCACCCAAAGGCCAGCGCTGAGAGGAAGGAAAGGAATTAAGCGCCGTTGTTTCCCTTCACGCCCGGGGGAGGGGGCTGAAACCGGCCCAGGAGGACCCGGCCTCAGGCGGGACTCGTACAACGCGTCTGGGGGCCTCCCCGGAAGGACACTTTTCCCCCGGCACGGGGGCCGCGGGATCCGGGACCG